CCTTTTCCTTACTACTTTCAGCTTTGGGGATCTGTTAAATACAGTCTGGTAAATTTGTATGAAGACGTCTCTGCAGCTATTTATATCACATTGACCAAAGATATTCATTAAAAAGAGGTCATGGTCATGAGCAATGTTGAGGATAATGAACTTCATATGACATAAGCTTAGTTTTGAAACAAAATATTTGCATGCACAAGAAAAAAATGCCTGGAAAAAATACACCAGAATGTACACAGTGGCTATTTCTGAAGTAGTATAGATTATCGACATTTTATTTTCTATTTTATACTTCTGTTTATCTTCCAAATTATCCATTGTGTCCGTATAGCTTTCATATATGAGAAAAACTCTATCAACATTTTTTTTAAAAGGCCGGGTAATTAAAATCAAGCATGTACAATTAGATTCCCAAAGCAAAAATAATTTCAGGTTATTAAAAAAATAAATTATGGTTCACCTTTCAATTACCAGGTTGATTGATTTTTTAAAATAAAAACACTGATAATTAAATTTTTCATTGACGAGATACTACATTATTACACAGAGTAGCTCTTCCTGGACCTGATTTCAGACTTTGGTAATCCTTTGATAATAGAAATATAAATTTTGTAACCGTAGTTCCCCCAACTATCTGCGATAGGTCTGATGTCAAATATTTGTCCTATTCACTGGCCTGATATTTGGGCTGTAAAATATGGTCACGTGTAATCTGGAGATGCAGGATCCAGATTACTTCTTAACAAACTGGAACTTTGTTTAATAGAAAAAGAAATGCGCGCAGTTCTAAAAATCGAACACTATGAGTATGTTTAAAAACAAACCCCTCACCCACACCTGCACCCCAGATCCCACTCCTCAGAGAGAACCACTGTTCACAGTTCCTAAGGCCTGAGGAGCTGGGCGTTTGATCCCTTCAACACGCCGGTTGATGTGGTCGCTGTGGTCCACTCACCCTCTCCCGCCGTCGGCTCCTGGGGTAGGTTCCACTGTCTCAAAGTCCCACACTTGGTGACTTCGCTCTCAGCTCCCGAAGTGGGTCGCCCATGCCTCTCTCAGCTCCTTTTATACTCCTGAGGGAGCGGGCAGACCTCGCCTTCTCGGTTGATTAGATTATCTCTAACTCCCGGATGGGACGGGACTTTATTCACACGTCTTAATTGCAATCTAGGGAGGGGCCCACGAAGCCCTCCGTTCTGGATCTAGTATATAGATTCAAAAAGCAATCCATGTAGGTTATCTATGTGTATTTCCTGTTTCCCAATTTAAAAAGTTTGTTTTGGGGGCCAGCCTGGTAGCCTACTGGTTAAATTATTCAAGCTCCGCTCGATTGCGGACCTGGTTTGGGGCACGACCTGCACCGCTCGGTGGCGGCTATGCTGTGGCAGAACCTACAAGGAAAATAGAGAAAGGTTGGCACAGATGTTAGCTCAGGGTGAATCTTCATCAGCAAAAAAAAAAAAAAAGAAAGAAAGAAAGAAAGAAAAATGTTTGTTTTTTTAAGCCTTCAAATCTTGTCCACATTTTGTCCCTATTAAAAATAACTAACTAATCAGGAGTGTGTCTATATTAATTCAGTAACCCTTTTCTGAACTACCATGTGCCATGGGTGGTACTAGGTGACAGGAATCCAAGGAAGAACAAGACACAGCCTCAGGCTCTGTGTAGCTCACAGGCTGTGATGGAGACAGACAAGGAAACTGAGAGTCCGTCGTTGGAAAAGTGGCACAAAGAAATACAGGAGGAACAGTGCTACTAACAGCAAGCACTTCTCAAGTGCTTAGGGCGTTCCCTGCCCCATTCTAAACCCTTTCTAATACGTTAACTCACTTAATCCTCACACCAACCCTGTGAGGTGGGTTTTAGGATTTCCTTCACTTACAGCTGACGGAACTGAGGCACGGAATGGTTATGTCACACAGCAAGGAAGTTGGAGAGGTGGATTCAAAGCCTGCTTGTCTGGCTCCAGATTCCATCTTTTAAGGGCTGCACAGTATTGCTGTTCAATAAACACTTGTGCGAATGAATGACAGTAACACAGAAAGTGCACCGATAGGGGACATGGTAAGCCCTAAGGGAAATCAGAGGCTGAGGGTTCGCGGAGGGCTTTCACGAGGAGCTTGTGACTTCAAGGTTGAGTGGTGGAAGAGGTGGATCTGGGAAAATAGGGGAAGGGACAGGACAGAAAGAGGCAAAGTCTGGTGGGATAAACAAGTCCCTGATTGTGTAAGAATTTGTATTCGATGCTAGGGAACATGGAGAGCATCCTGAGAGAATAGGGAGCCTGAAAGGTTTTAAGTAGAAAAGCTTAAGTCCAATTTGTGGTTTTTCAAATGGTCTTGGAGAAAGTGAGAAGGGAGGCAGGGAGATAAATTTGGGGCCTGTTGGAGCATAAAGAAATATGGCTCTTTACATGAGCTCCTCTGCCCCGCCAGGTTGCAACCTCCTGAAGGGCAGTCACCAGGTGTGGTTAATCTTAGCATGCGAGTAGGGCAGAGCCAGTATAGTGCCCGGGAAAGGACAGTGCTCAAATAAAGGTTTTGATGGAAAATAAGTGAAAATTGGCTACTTTAATCTAAAATGTTTAGAAACTCTTATTTCTGGCAATAATTTCCTAAATAATCTTTCTTTCTTTAATCCATAATGCTTATGAGTCTTAAGAAACTATTTGGATCACTTTCTCATTAAATAAGTCATTATCAAGAGTCAATTATGTATAAGGCTATAATTATAACCGTATTATATATATGGATCTAGGTATTGTATATATGGATCTTGTGACAGCAGGGAAAACGGGGTTCTATGGGACCAGTTCTAAGGAAGCTTATCACCTTTATATGACATTTCTTAATGAAGACCGCTTCTCAAAGACAGAAAACTCTAAACAAATACTGAACGGTTGTTAGAAGACTTGTTTATCTCAGAAGTGTGGGCTAGAACTCTGAAATGACTTTCTCAATATTCTTGAATTAAGCAAATAAGTACTTATATTTCGTATAATGGAGGTTTCTCACTGTCGGGAAAGGAGAGTTGTAAATATGGAACATGGGAAAGCTGGCATGTTGGATTGGGATTTCCAGCACACCTGATGTCCAGTTTGGTTTCTAAAACGCATTCTTCTCTAAAGGAGAACAGGCCTCCCTGGGAAAAGCCTGGTTCCAGGGCTGGGTCTGGAAAATACAAGATGAGTCTGGAACAGCTTGAGCTAGAAATTTAAAAAGTGGTCAAAGATGGAAGGAGACATATGAAAAGGATCCTGCAACTAGTTTAAAGAGGGTCCCATTGGCCAGATCTGGGACAATTTGGTATCAAAATAAGCAAAGATAGTATCAGATTATAACCCATTAATACAATGAGAATCCGTGAGTCCATACTGAAATAAATATTTGAGGGAGAAGAGAAAGATCATCCTTATAGTAGAATGCCTGTTAGTACATATGGAAGAAATGGAATTAGAAAATCATTATATGACAACTATCCTAGTAATAATTCAGGAAAGAATCATCAATGGATGCCAAAACTAGTTAATGAATGTCTGATGTGTAATCGGATATTTATATAATCTCAAAGTATGTCCCCAAAGACACTTACTAATTTCAAAGGAAAAGTAATTGCTTTAGAGAGGGGAAACCTGGTAGTCACACTTTAACAAAATGACAAAGTCAATTTCATCAGTAATGAGAGAAATCCATTGTAAGCACCTCCTGGTAGGATGCATAGAGAAGAAAACAACATCACTCCACGGATATTCCTGCCAAATATGCAAAACCCAAATCTAATCATGAGAAAACAGTGGACAAACCCAAACTGAGGCACACCCTAAAAACAATTGCTTGTACTCATTAGAAATGTCAAGGTTATGAAACATTAGGAATGACTGAACCACTGTTGAGATTAAAGGAAAAATGACATGACATGATCACTGAACACAGTCTATGACCCAGGATTTTCTTTCTATTTATTTATTTATTAAGGTAACATCGGTTTATAACGTTATCTTAATTTCAGTTATTTATTGTTATTATTACTTTTTTTGACCCAGGATTTTCTTTTGCTATAAACAACATTATTGGGACTATTGGAGAAATATGAATGTTTTTGGATTAGCTAATAGTATTGTATCTATGCTAGTTTTCTGACTTTGATAATTGTACCACACTTATGTAAGAGAATGTTCTTATTCTTGCTTTTAGGACTCTAGGGTGTAGGACACTAAGGGGTTAAGGGCATGATGTCTGCAATTTCCTCTCAAACACTGTATACATATAGTATTGTGATTAGAAATCTCATTTTGTGTCTATTTTTTTTAAACCAGGACTAGATTTTAAGACCTATGTATGTTTCTATGTGTACATCTAGTCTCCTGTTTCTTCTAACTGCTGGATGGTAGTTAGTTCAAGGAATTATTGCTTCCACTACATTTTGTTTGTCCGCTCCTCAGTCATGGACACCAGCTTGCCTCCAGCTGCCATCACAATCTTCAAACGTGTCTGTTTTTGGATCTGCAAGATTTCTTAGTGATGGATATTCAGGAGCTAAATTGCAGAGGTCGTAGTGTATACTACCTATATTGTTTGGATCCAGAAACTCTAGATTGTTTTCTAGAAGAGTCCATCAATGTACTCTTCCACCAATAGGCAACAACATTCCTGTGTACCCCCCAGGGCCAACCCTCCAACCCTTGGCCTTACTCAACTTCCTAAGTTTTGCCTATCAAATGAATATAAGGTGTTATTCCATACTTTTTAAAAAACTTTTATTCCTGTGATTATTAACAATTTGAACATGTCTTCAGATAGTTGCTGATCTTTTGGGTTTCTTCCAAAAATTGCCTATTCATATTCTTTTCCTATAATTTTTTTTTTTAGATTTTCTGTTTCTCTTCGATTTGCAGTGTTCTCTGCAAACCTTAAGGAATAATGATTAAACATGAAGGATATTGATTACTCCCAGGGTTGAAGTTGGAGGAGGAATGGAATCCAGAAAAGATTTGTAAGAGATTTCAACTGCATTGTAATGTTTAATTTCTTAGGCTAGGTGGTAGGTCAAGTATATTTATTGGCTTATTCTTTGTCCCTTTGTAAATCTTACATGTTATGTAATTTTAAACAAATTCCACGTGCTGGAATTTATTCAGTATTCTAAATCAGTGATTCTCAGAGTGTGGTCCCCAGAGCAGTAGTATCAACATGACCAGAGAACTTGTTAGAAATTCAAAGTTGGCCAGCACTCCAGACCTCTGGACTCAAACTCTGGGATGAGGGCCAGCAATCTGTGTTTTAACAAACCTCACAGGTGACTCTGGGGCAGCTAAAGTTTCTAAACTATTGTAGGGAAAACTAAAGCACATTTGGATGCAGTTCTAAAAATAAGAAATTATACTGTTGAGACTCCCAACTATTCTTTTTTCTCTTTTGCCTTCTATTTCTTTGTACCTGCAGTATTTTATATGTCTGGACCAAATTTCAAATCTTCTTAATTATTTAATACAGCTTAAAGTTCTATGTAACTTCATCACCTAGTGTCTTCAATTGAAAGTTAAACTAATCTAATTTCTTTTAACTTGTAATATCCAATATTCATGTTTTATAATTCAATTGCTAAATTATTATCCCAGGTTTTGTGTGTTTATTCTTTTTTATGAAGAATGGAAATCCCTCCAATGGTGTTTGCTAAACTTTCAGCACAATTTCTTGAAATCTTGGTGCTAGAGAAACCAGTAGCAGAAAAGTCCTGGGCTTTTCTCTTGCTGCCAGCTCCCAACGGGAAGCCTGGGAAACACAGTCTCTTGAAAAACCCGTCATTTCCTTATGGTAAACACCCAGCTCATATTCCAAAGAACCTTTAATGGCGATGATTGGGTACAACCTGCTGAGATAAGTGCCTGGAAATTTGCATGTACATTCAAAGTCAGCAATTTAAAAAAATTTCCCCACTATTTTGCAAAATAATTTCACAGATAACTTATCTTTATATCTGACTAATCTCCATTTTGGCTGTACAAGGCGAGCCTCATGTAAGCTCTGATTGACGCAGTTGAGATCTGGCTGTAACACCATATCCACTTTTTGTTCTTTTAAACCCCCCGTCTGGGCCCGCCTGTATGTCGGTGGTGGGACTCCCCCAGCCTCCCCTTCACTGGGGCTGTGGCCCTTTCTCCAGATTCTTGGCTGTGCAGGTGTCCTCACCGGGCTGCAGGGGTCTGGATGGTCACCCTCCCTTCCTCCTCTCCGCACATACAAACATTGAGCTGTAGGGTCCCCATTCCCTCGGGGTGCAGATTTGCCGACGAGGGCATTAATGGATTGAAATAGAATTAATCAGTTCTCACGGTACTCAGTCTGTGGTTTTCATATTTCTTTTAAGAAAATCTTTCATTGAGAAAAAAGTAAAGCAACTAGTTCAAGATTCAACGAATCCTGTTGAAGCTGGGTTAATTTTGGAGCTCAGCCAGTTGGTCTTTTCCGGAAGTGATTCTCTGCCCAACACTGGAAGCACCTGAGTGTTGAAAACCACATCCCCAGAGATTCTGGTTTAATTGGCCTGGGACCAGGCTTTGGGAGGTCTAAAAGCTCCCAGGTGTTGTTAATATTGTCCTCCACCTCTAGAACGCAGTGGAATCACCTGTATGGCTTTGTTAAACTATGATTACTGGGCCCCACCCAGAGTTTCTGGTTCACTAGCTCTGGGATGGGGCCTGATAATTTCCATTGCTAACAAGTTCCCAGGGATGCTGATGCTGCTGGTCCAGGGGCCACATTCTGAGAACCACTGCTCTAGTGAAAACTTGAAACCCACTGTGCAAGGTGAGTTTTGTCCCACCCAGGAAATACTGCCACCCTCCCTTTTTAAAATACTTTTTAAACTTTAGAACGCTTAAGAACATTATTCTCCTTAATTCATTTTACTTTATTCTCATACTCAGTCCATGAAAGCTCCTCTTATTTTAGTCTTTTTTTAAACTTTTTACCTTACTTCTCAATCCCTACTCCCATTCTCTCCTCTCCCACCAAAGGCACTCCCTCTAATTCATTTGATATGTGACCTTTTATAATTATGAGGAAATACAATGCAAAAAATCCCATTGAAGTAGTAACACCAGTCCTGAGACTTACAGCCACAGAGAGTTTACTCAGAGGAGGATTTTAAATCTGCAGTGCTTTTGGGGGAAGTGCAAGTTACAAAATGGCCCTCTACTGCTAAGACTGTCAAATATTCTATACCCCCAAACCTTAAATTTATTATTTTTGTAAAGAAATGATATATTGAAACCTTCCCTAAGAAACAATAAAGGTTGCTTTTTCTTGAAGTGATGCTTATTTTCTATGGAGTAGGAAATTTCTTAGACCATTTATTATCCTTGATGATAAAGTACAGCTAACACGTATGTTAGAGTGGGGAAACACTATAAATCATTCATAGGTTATCTTTAAAATTGGATGAAATCACGTGCATAAAATATAAATGATGATTTGTTTTCCATGGGGTTCCTGGGTTCAGATGTTTCCTAATTCCACTGTTTTAATCCTATCTTTTTATATATTTCACTCTCTCAGCGAAGTTAATGAGACATCCTTAAGCCTTTGCGACTGGCTTTCATATACCAGCAAAGCAGAGTAATAAAATGACCCGTGCCCAGAATAAACATATGCATTGATTTTTAACTAGCGATAATGTTCTGGAAGGCAGTCATGGTCCTTTGATATGTGTGGGGCGCAGTCCTAGTAACTAACTCGCCAAACCTACCCTCAGTGTGTTTGTGATGTTGCTCTGGGCATGACACTTATTTTTTCAAATATTTCTATATTTATTTGTATTAACATTCAATTTATCTCAGAATATTACCTTGGAGAAATGACACATAGAAGTGACAAATGCCACTAATTTTAGTTTTGAAATAAGTAGAATTTATTTACTATTCAATTAAGGAAGAAAATGCATTTTATTGCTGTGTTTTCAATCCTTCTAAATCCTCCTTTGCCCACAGACACATACCCTGTGTATCTTGTTGCCCGTAGTACTTAGTGCAATGTTACGTGTAAATGTCTTATAAGTACTGGTTGAACTGACTTAAAGAGACCCCAATTTTAGGTCCCCTGTCTCACGGCTCTGACATTCCTTCCACTCAGTGAAGAAATCTATCAGATGCAGAAGCTGTGTAGTCAAATGCCCTCAGAAAACCATTTTCTCCCGAACTATAGTAAACCTCCACCCAGGAGAGATTTCACGCTACCAGATGTAGTGGGAAAATATATTATTTTCTATTTCCTTTCAATTACACTGTTGTTAAACCACCTCCAAAATGAAGCATTTTTAAAAATGTAATTGCTGTCCTTACTGATGTGTATAGAATTTCTGATGGATGGTGATTTCTACATTTAAAAAATGTTTGTTCAAGAATTTGCTATATTTTGTTTGTGTAGTTAAAAAGAAAATTCCTCAGTGTACTTCTCCACACGTTTCTCAACGCAATTGCTCATCAGTCTATTTATATGACTGCTTTTCCAGCTTTGCAAGGTCATTTAATTCTAATCTTGTCCTCCAAAGTAATAACCACTTATTCCAATTTGCTATTATCTGTAAATTTAATCATCACGCGCTCTAGTCCATCAACCACACAACTGATGAAAATGTTAAACAGCTCTGTATCCAAGATGAAACAACGGATGCTGTCGGTCGGTAGGCACTGTTCTTTGTACCGCATCTGTATGATTCTCCAACCAAGCTATTTTTTGAATAGGTTTATTCTAGCCTTTCTTTTTTCCTAATTAATATGTATAATATGAAATGAAGCTGTTATTAATGCCAAGATATATTTGATTTCTTTTAATCTATCAATTATTTTAAAGCAGAAAATGATTGCCTATAGATTCTGATGCCCCTCTCAGATCAGTAGCTCTTCAATGGCAGACTCTGCTGATATAGTTCTGTGTTTACCTCCTCCTTTCTCACGCCATTGGATACAGACTTGCATCAGGAGTGTAATATGTTATCTAATTATTAACCCATTAACTAATAAGTAGATATAATTCAGTCATAATAACAAAAAAATCTATTGTGCACTATCTTGCTTTTTTTCCAGACAGCATTTTTTGATAGCTTGTTCCCAAATAGAATGCAATTTTATGGGACCTGGATACTGATTTAACCTGGTCATGTGTTTTTGTAAAATTTGTAGTAATGGGATATTGCAACTCTCATCAGTTAGGACTGGTTTTTGTTTCACTCTCTAACTTCCCCTCCATGACACTTGCCCTTCAGTTGCATGATATGCAGTGACCTGGAGCATTTTTGAGATCCAGTTAAGGAGCTGGTGAATAGGGAATATATATGTATATTTTTTTGGTGAGGAAGATTGGCTCTGAGCTAATGTCTGTGCCCATCTTCCTCTATTTTATATGTGGGATGCCTACCACAGCATGGCTTGATGAGCAGTGGGTAGGTCTGCACCCTGGATCTGAACCCGCGAACCTGGGTCACCAAGGCAGAGCTAGCGAACTTAACCACTATGCCACAGGGCTGGCCCCCTGGAATATTTTTATTTGGGTTTAATGGCATATATTTACCTGGTTTGCAATTACTCCCATGTACAGTTAGCTGCCTTGGTGTAGAAAGGGCTTCCAGAAATAGTCCTATCGCATGTTGTGCTGTGCTAACCCATACACAGGATGGATGGAGCCATGAGGAGGTCATGTCGTGCCTTGTGCTGAAAGTGTGTAGGTAGTAGAGGACATTCAACATTTGAGAGGGATGGATCCAGAAGCTAGACTGTGGGAATTTGGTAGCCATATGTGAAAAAATTAACTTGATAGGGTTTTACCTAAATTTGATAACATTCCTGCAAATTTATATGACATTGCTGATAACAAATTGTGAAGCGAAAAGAAATTTTTGAAATTATCAATAATAAAAAGAGTTTCAAATTATGTATGCTAGAGGAAAGACAATAGTATTACTATTTTTTTCTTTATCAACTGTTACACAATTATCACATGAAGAGGCAATCAAAGAGAATTTGGACAAAAAAAGGTAAAAAAAAGTATAATAGGGATGTGACAGGAAGTTAATTAGTAAAACTATTATGTTCTCTTTTCTGGATTTTGTGATGTTTATGGCATTTTGCATCTTTTTAAAATTTATAATTTGGGTTTTTCCCCCCATTCTAAATAACTATTTATTTTCATAATGAATTCGTCTTTTTTTATTGTTTTACTTAAAGAGAACCCCCAGACTGAAGAAGCTCCAGGCTCCACAAAGCCTGTATTTGCCCTTGATTCCGGCCATTCCAAGGTATGTAGCAGTGATGGAGCGATCCCTGGTCCAGGGTAAGTCCTGGTTAATCTACACCAGTCCCCTCCTCCTGCCTGTGACAGGTTTAGGGGCAGACAGTCCCGCTCTCCATTGGCTGTAAACCAGGAGTCACATGGGTCCAGTTCCTGCTGGTAGGTATGAGCTCTAGATGAAAGCCAACCCACGAGGTGGGCAGCGCTTAGAGAACCTCAGACCTGAGGGAGTGGTACTTGAACCCTGGTCTACCTTCAGAAGTGTGGTATACACGCTCGCTAGCATTTACAATAAAGTCAGGGCTTTCAAGAGCAAAACGAATCCTTATATTTTACTGAATAGTTTAAAATGCAATCTAGTTTAACATGTAAACACATGTAGAACCCACATGTGTACCATGATGGATGGTAATTAGTCTTTGGGTGATGAACATGATGTAATAGAGACAGAAATTGAAATATAATGATGTGCACCTGAAATTTATAGAATGTTATAAACCAATATGACTTCAGTAAAAAAAAAGTAACTCAAGGAAAAAAAAGAAAAATAGTGCCCAATTTTTCTAAGGATTTTCCATGTGTATAGAAAGCATTCTAATCATTACATCCTTGACACTTTACAACATTGAAGCTATAAATAGTATGAATTTGGATGTTTTCAGCTACTAATTTATTAAATGTAAATTTATTAAAAAGCTGCTAATTTATTCCATTTGAAAATACAGAAAACTAGGAATAAGAAAAAGTGAACGCATGTGTACTTCTAGAAATTTTATTACTTTGGTGTAGTTCCTGCTGGTCATTTTTGTGTATCTATGTTTTATTAAAAAAAAATCACCACTGTACTTTATATTCAATTTTAGATCCTGCTTTCTTCTCTTGTTCTATGTGACCCCAGTGATTTACTCTGCAGGGCCTCCACATCTCACAAATTCAGGGGTCTCTTTTCACATAATAGTCCATGTGAACGGCGCCCCCTGGAGTTGTGCAGTGCACAGCATGTGTGGCTATATGAGGCAGTCATTTGTGTCTGGGTGCCTGAGTCTTCAAGGCAACTGGGAGCATCTTCTTGGACCACCCATTAATTAATTAATTAATTAATTTTTTGAGGAAGATTAGCTCTGAGCTAACATCTGCTGCCAATCCTCCTCTTTTTGCTGAGGAAGACTGGCCCTGAGCTAACATCCATGCCCATCTTTGTCTACTTTATATGTGAGATGCCTGCCACAGCATGGCTTGACAAGTGGTGCACAGGTCTGCACCTGGGATCTGAACCGGCAAACCCCAGGCTGCTGCACCACCAGACCAGCCCCATGAACCACCCATTTAAACTATAGGCTTTGGAATAAAACACAGGGCAAACCTTTCCTGGCTGCCTTCCGGTAACACCAAATAAGTGCCATATTCCGCCTTTGTGCCTTTTTCTCGGGCTGGCTTTGTTTGAAGCTGAGTCCCACAGCTCTCCTCTTACAAGGTTACACCTATCCCTTTCCTTCACCTTGGGATAATCTGCTGACTCCCGTGGATGAAAGAGAGTGTTAAGTAAATTAACCTCATGGCTGTTTTCATGAATGCATTTCATCGTTACATCATCTTGCGTGGCTCCAATTTGTCTTCCTTCTGCTGGTTTATTTGGATTGATTTTCTATCTGCTCATGTTCAGGAACCTAAACTGCTATTATCCTTGCCCTAACTCCAGCAACAGTTCATCTTCAGGATGCTAATTTTCTTTTTGTCAGAAAATGAAACATTGCTCATAATCCTATAAAGACCTCTAAATAATGGTGAAAAGCCAAATTACAGAATCATTTATAATGGCAAAATAGCACATTTCTCTAATGGTGAAAATACTTACCTGTAACTGCAGACGGATTTTTACATTTAATTTATAATTTTTAGTCCTCTGACAGTTCCTGCCAACTCCTCTTGAGTACATAGTTTACCAACATGAGACGTGGGTGGATGAGGGATTACTCAGAAAAACTGTGCCAAGTTCTCTGCCGATAGCGTGAACTTACGGACGATGGACTGTGCAGTAAAATTCATGACTCTCCCCTCGGCCCTAGGTTCATGAAACTTTCAGTTTTCTAACTTTTATTTTATGCAAACAGGGTTGACTCCTCAGAGCAGGCTTTAGAGGAAGTAAGCCCCTACTCCTCAGAAAGAAAGAAAGGAGGGAGAACAAGAAGGGAAAGAGTTGGAAAGGGAAGACCAGGAGCTTAGGCAAAGGGCAGGGGAGGCCAGAGGGGGCCAAGAAGGGGGCACGGGGGAGGAAGTGGGACAATGGGGGTGATTCTTTTGACTCAAAGTTTGAGAGACGTTATCTACTTGAACGGATGGAGGGAATTCAGCCTTACCAGGTTTGATCTTTGCTCTGACCTGGTGTTTGTCTTGTAATAAGGCCATCGTATGTATCAAATCTTATAGAGAGGAAAATTAGAAGTTAATTACGTATTTTGGACACTCCGGAGGACCTGGGTACCTCTTGACATTATCTGCAAGCTCTGTAAAGTTAACAAATATTTTTATAAAATATATTCTTCTCTACAAGCCCTCCTTGGAGAGTGCCATCAAAGGTTTGTATTAATCCTGTTTTTCAGAGAGCTCAACAGGAGTGGAACATATTTTCAGCGTGCTCAAACTATCTGCACAATGGCCCTCTATGTTGCTAGTGTATTTGAAATTTTGTGGGCCAGTAAGACTTTCAGTGGCTCCCTAGACTTTATGACCAATGTACAGGACCGGGTCACCCAGTGACCACGCTAGTTTGAAGATGGGGAGCTGGGGAAGCTGCACTTACCTCTCTGCTGCCTGCCTTCTTCCTCCCAAAGCCATGCTCCTGGCTGGGGCAGGTGGCTGGGTGGGGATCCTCCAAGAGCTGCAGTAGTGTCACCAACCCATTGGGCTCCTGTCATGCACTCAGAGATGCTTTTCTAAATCCAGCAGAAATCCGACTCCCTGGCCTGCTCATTCGACTTGTGATCAGAAGCCCAGCACATGAACTGGCACTGCTGCTGGGAACTGTGAGTCACTCCTTCCAGGTTGCTCCTGGTGTCGGAGCGAGTCTCTGCAGGGGAAGACGAGCAATCTGCCTGTCAGGTGAGCTCGTCATGGTCATCATCACTGTCTGAGCACTGGCTTTCCGAGAGATCCTGCCCTGTCTGTGAAAAGAGCCCTTGTCAGATTCCAGGAATATCACTGTCTTACTATGTGACCTTGGACAAGGTCACTTAAGTTCCGGGAGCCTGAGTTTCCTTGGTTAAAATGGAAAATGGTTCCAAAGAATTGGCACCAAAATTTAAATAGTTAATGTATGGAACATATTATGCAGATCTAGACAAATGAAGAACTTATAACACTGTGGACATAGTATAACGCATATTGGATATTTTTGATGTCTTCTGAATTTGCAAAAGAATTGGAGGTATCTATAATATAGTTGAGGAGAAAGGAATGACTCAAAAAAGTAGATAACCATTCATAGGTTATTTATTCACTCAACAAACATTTATTGGTCACTATTCTATGCAAGGTCTGTGAGGCACTGTGGGGATATAAGGATATATGATATATGGCTTGTTCATAAAGAATTTATATTCTAGGAAGGAAGATTGGACATATATATAAGCAATTCGCAAGATAACATTTGCTGTGTACAAAATGTGTACATAAAGTAACTACTATGGGCAGTTCAAAACAGAAAAATCTTAAAGAAGGCTTGACATAGAAGGAGGGCAATGGGAGCCAGTTTCAACACGTGTTGAGTTCCCATGATGTGTACTGCTTTAGGCATCTGTAGATTCAGTGAGGACTCCTAGGCAGAGAAAACCATGTAAGCCAAGGTCAGGAGGCGGGAATCCACACACAGTAGAAGGCGTGGCAGCAACAGCAACCAGTTGGGGCAGAAGCGACACCCTAACGAGGATGGTGGAAGAGAGTTTGAGTTGTGTAGCTGCAGCATCATGGATGGCTTTAAATATAAGGCCAAGGTTTGGTCTTTGCCTTGCAGAGAATGTGAGTAATGCTTTCTGTGGAAGTCCTTATGAAGAATACAGATCTTTCCTGAGAACAATTTCTGTTCTGCTGGCAGGCTCGTGAGTGGGCCACCGCCACGTAGAGCTCGGTTAGCTCTGAATGTGGGAAAGATTACGTAAGAAGTTTTAATTTTCAATACCAGAATTTCAGCTTTGTCATGTGCTCGTCTGTAACCCAAAGCTTCTGGAAATTTCTTAAGGCAATAAAATATCATAGTCGAAGCTCTCAGTACCAGTCTTTTAAGGACTTCAACAATTGGTAATTGAGAGATCCCTTGGCTAAGGGATACTTATCTCCTTCACACACCAAGGCACTAGAACTCAAACTCTAACATTTGTGTGTGTCCGAGTCCTAGTCAGGAAAAAAGAAGCACACCAATGATTGTAAGAGAGAATTAATACAGGGAATTGGTGATACAGGGATTGGAGGACTGAAAGGGCAAAGAGAACACACCTAACCCAGAGAGCAACTGCAGGAAGCAATTACCCACACTGGGCCAGTGGGGCCAGGGGAGAAGGCTGGGGTGGTTGGCACCCAGAAGCCTGGAGGAGGAATCCAGGCCCCAGAGGGGAGGCAGCTGCCTGGATGGTGCCGGTGCCTCAGGAAGTCCATGGAGAGCCCAGGGAACCTGGATCCCAGCAGTCAGAGATGCCGGTGCCCCCGGAGTGCCATGGGGCTGCTTCTGGGAGATGCAAACAAAGTGGAAACTGGAACCAACTGCCACCAGAGAGTTAGAACTGCTAAGGTGAAGAGAGACAGCTGGGGGACCCTGACAGGATCAGCAAGCAGACTGGAAGCAGCGGGGTCCGTCTCCTCCCTCCTGGTTTCCTGTCTCCCCCTAGGGCCCCACCGTGGGCAGAACCTAGCAGCGAGCCTATGGCGAAGAAGAAATGGGGTTACAGAGATCCAGCTTCAGCATCACAAGGTTAAATAGAGCAGGATGAGTTTGATCCTGAGAGATCATTAATACCCGGCACCACATGTACACAATTCACAGGGATAACTTATTTACAGTCCAGATTCCGGAGATCCACACCTGAAATTCTGACTCAATAGTGTAGAGTGTGGTCCAGGTATCTCCACTTTTGAAAAGGAGCCTCGAAGTATCTGATGCAGGGGATCTTCATGTCACATTGTCAGAAATGCTGCTATATGGGCTGACCCTGGCCGAGTGGTTAAGTTGGTGCCCTCGGCTTCGGCGGCCCAGGGTTTCGCCAGTTGGAATCCTGGGCGCGGACATGGCACTACTCATCAGGCCATGCTGAGGCAGCGTCCCACACAGCACAACCAGGACCTACAACTAGAATATGCAACTGTGTGTCGGGGAGCTTTGGGAAGAAGAAGATAGGGGAGGGAAAGAAGATTGGCAACAGATGCTAGCTCAGGTGCCCATCTTTAAGAAAAAAAAAAGATGCTGCTCTAGTTTTTCCAAGCAAAATCCTTGAGTCAAGTTAGAACAGGAGGTGGTGAAATGCTCAATTCCAATAATTTAGTTCTCTGAGGCAAACAATTACGCTCGTGAATTAATTTTGCTTTCTTATCTTTTTCCACCTTAAGAAATTCTAATTTGAAGAACCCTCTGGAGCATCTGCACCAACCACAAATGACAGTTTTCTTCATTGCAGTATTCAGGGTCTGTTATTTTGGCATTCATATGTAATTCCCCCTATGAGATAATACCAGGAAAAGGAAAACCTGTCTTTTCGTGTAAACTTATAGAGTTTCTCTTATCAGACCAAAGGAAAGAAAGAAAACATCACCTTAAATTTCTCTTTTGCTTTGGCTGCCAGGAAGCTCAGAGTCATTTGCTGCAATCTCTTCCAAGGCTTCTGATGTAATCATTTTGTTTTTATATTTTTAAAGTTAGGAGTTGTCTCACATCTTTTCTTCTTGAGGCAAGTTGGATGTAGATAAATACAGATAATAACTAAGATTATACCTGTTATATTTTTCAAAATACTTTTGCATATAATACCTTAAAGTTCCTCATTGGTTAACTCAAGGTGAAACAAAGGCCGAAGGTGGTGTCCTTCTAGAGGAAATGCATCTGCTGTCACAGTTTTGAGAAGGTACAGGGTTTGAATATGAATAATTTTTTATATGAATGTCCATTGTTAATATGTCTCCTAGGCCTCTGTGTACTTTATAAACCAAATTAAAAGCCTATAGGTAAAATTCTATCTTTTTTATATCGAATTTATTTCTACTATTTTTATAATCATGGCTTGGAAACTTGAGAATGATGACAAAGCATGATTCTGCTAGGAGCAGGTGGTCACTAAAACTTGAGACAGAACTCTCTAGCAGGTAGGATGTCTTGGCCCTGTTCTGAGGGGCCTTATTGCAGATTGACATGAGATTTCATTTATTTAATTTATTTTTTTTTTTGCTTTGCTAATCACGAATTTTATTTTATTTTATTTATTTATTTTTTATTATTTTCGGATATACATCCCATTTCGAATTCTGTGTAGATTACATCATGTTCACCACCCGAAAACTAATTATAGTCCCTCCCCTCACATGTGAGCCTAATCACCCGTTTTGCCCTCCCCCCTTCCCCTACGGTGACCACCAATCCAATCTCCAATGCTATGTGTTTTTTTTTTTTGTCGTTTTTATCTTCTACTTATGATTGAGATCATATCGTATCTGACTTTCTCCCTCTGACTTATTTCACTCAGCATAATACCCTCAAGGTCCATCCATGTTGTCACAAATGGCCGGATTTCATCATTTCTTATGGCTGAGTAGTAGTCCATCGTGTATAAATGCCACATCTTCTTTATCCATTCGTCCCTTGATGGGCAGCTAGGTTGTTTCCATGTCTTGGCTATTGTGTATAATGCTGCAATGAACATAGGGGTCTAAGTGAGATTTCATTTATAAACATCATATTGTGTACAACACCTGAGAAAGCATGTAATAAACAGTGAAATAAAGTAAATATCCTGGACCCTTCCTTTGTGGTTGTTTCCTGATAATTCTTAAAGCCGATTCTGTCTTCTAAAGGAGTCATGTGACTCCCTCTGTGTCTGAACCCGCTTCCATGGGCATTGACGCGAATCCATTGCCCTGGATCTTCCGCTGTAGTGGTATTATGGTGTCGCCCTCACTGTCCAAGGAGTAGCAACTCTGAGTAAACGTAGAAGCAAATGTTTGTTTTCTGACCGTTATGCTATTTCACACTATATTACTATTGTGTTCTTTTAACTAATACAAATAATATAATTTTGGGGAATACTCAACTTATAGTCCTTTTCTACCCCAAAGAGAAAGCACTTCCTGTTGTCCCTTTTGCGTACCTGAAGCTTGTCCTGGAGATGGTCTTGGTGACAGTGCCCAGAGCTCTGGCATTTGACCCCAGAGCCAGCCTCATCTGCGTTGTAGCCGGAGTCTCCTGGTGAGAGCTATCCACTCCACAGGCTACTGATTTGTTCATTATCATCTCTTTCTCCTACCAGAACCTTTTCAGCAGATAGGTGGTGATCCCACTTACACCACGGATAGGGTTTCTGGACTTCTTATCCTCATAACTATAAAAATTGTTAGTTAACTGCAAATAAATAGGAGAAACAATAGTTTAAATTTGCAGTATAGCTCCTGAAATGCTCTGGAGAAAATATGATGTAAAATCCTACAAAATCATAAATGTAGGATGGTGATGAGGAAATTGAGGAGCCCACTGGAAGACAAAGGACTTTGCGCCTGTTTACCAAAAGCTTCTACCCCAGTGATGTGATCCCATACGTGAAACACAAATGGAGGGAGCCCGTGGGGAAAGAGCACGGGAGAGTGAGCTGGACGGCCTGGGTTCTGTCTGGGCTCTGCCACAAAAAGAGTGTGTGCCCTTGGACAAATCAGTACTCTTTGGCCATCAATGATTTCATGTAAATAATCAGAAAATTGGATCAGTAAATTTTATTGTAAGATTCCCATTGGTCTAACAGTTTGTCTCTGGATGCTCCATAAAATACCCATGCAGGTAAATTTTAGTTACCTCTTAGCTGAAAACTAGCTTGAAGGTTCTTTGAAACCCATTTTGCATACAGATAGTGGAAAAGGCAACAAGGGCCTGGTGGGGCCACAAAGCAGATGAGCAGGATCTGAACCATTCACGAGTTACTGCAGGGGAGGCGGTGAAGGGAAGGCACATCTGATTATTCTGCAATTCCTGCAGTCAAGGGGCAGTTTCTAACATACATGCTATTTGTTTCCAAACTATGTTTGTTTAAGAACAAAATAATTTTGGTGGTTAATGGTCACACTTGTGAAACAGTTATGGCATTTAGCCACCTGTCATCTACCCTTTTTACAGGTGTTTTGTGTGTTTTCTGTTTTTGATGTAATTAGCTATTTTTGTGCATTTCTACCCAGAAGGATGGTTGCCTCTTTCTGATGCTACATGTGCTTCTGAAAGAATGAGATTGGGGAAAAAAAACCTGAATTGAGAGCTGATAAAATAATAATGTTCATGTATTTTATGTTAGGCTATGATAAGCCAGACATTACGTTCTGTGCAATAATTGAAAAATTACGTGCTGGTTTTGTCTTTGCTCGCTCAGTTTTAAAACTGTGCACATTCCCTACAGCACATGGTCTAATTAAGTGGTCACTCTACCACTTGTTTACAAGGCGAGAACTCAGAAGAAGGATAACCATTGTCGCATAAACACAAGTCTCAAGTTCATTAAGGGAAACAGTCATGTCAAAATTTTTTTCAGATGTCTAGTTTCATTTTTAGTTTTACTATTTTTTTTAGTGTTTAGATTTATTAATTGATGAATCCCTTGAAGACCAAGGGCAACAAACTTCAACATTTAAAAATAAGAATCACATGAACATCTAATGGGAAGATATTCCCAGCTGTAGAATCAAGGATGACTGAAGATAAGAAGAGATGGACACAGAAGAGGAAAGAAAAATATCAATGTAATACTAAAGCCTAATGACGTAAGGGATCCGGTGGTTGATTTTTGTTTGATAACTGTATGCTTACTTGCAAATTTATCTGTAGTTTCAAAATCCAGAGATAGAGGCTCTTCAACAGATGACAGACGATGACACATTGAATCACTCCATGGGTTTATGCAGTCACAGGGTCAAAGTGATTGTTTGCTGAATTTTAATGTATTGAATGTTTATTTCAAATCCATTTGTCAAAGTAAGGTATGGTAACAAATGTCTTTGATGCGAACAAGATGGACCTTAATGGTACATTGATGACTGAATTTCAAGGACTAATAATCTATGTGTAGTACCTCCTAATTTTCTGAATTGTTTATTTGCAAGTAAAGTATAAAATTTGGAAGTCAACTGTAGTTTTAGCATTAAATTAGAACAGTCACGCATGAATTGCTTCATAGCTTACCTGGATTTTAGTAGACTGACCTGTATTTCATTTCCATGGCCTACTTTTTTATTCAATTGAGTCACATATTGCACTGTAACTGAGTCACAAAGCAGGAAACAAGCTTGTGCCAAGTATATGGGACAGAGTTGGCATATATGGTGTCTTCTCTCTGTTAGTGGAAAGTCAGTTCTGGTAAATCAGTCAGTCAGTCTAGCATTAGCATTTCCCCCACCTGGTGAGACAGGATATAGTCCAGGTCCATGTCCCTTACCTGCAATTACGAAATCCAAAAAGCTATGAAAATAGGAAGTAGTTTAGAAACTCAAAACCTGACCTGACTTGAACTCATTTAGCAATGAAAACTGCTGAACTGACGTATGACTTTTATAGTCTTTATTTATCCCTCTTGGTGTGAATATTCATACACTTCACTACAGAAATATGAATGGGTTTGATAACGGGGTTCTCTCCAGATCCTGCTGGAAGTGTGTCATAATATATGGCACATGTATTTCCTTCTATTTTCTTTCTAAAATCTGAAAGATACTGAGTCCCAAAATATATCAGTCCACAAGAGTACCTTTTCCTTCATCTGAAATCTCTTAATAAGTATTTCTCAATGTTGAGTCCCATTTTTATCTTTTCTGCAACTTCCCAGGCACATTCATGATTATTGCATTACTATTGCAAGCATTAAGGGCAAAGCCCTGCTTTCCTGCTCTCTGTTGTTAGCACATGGTGGAGGCTGAATGGCTCGCTGGAAGGAGCCCTAGCTATAGAGTTGGAGCGATCTAGAATCGAATCCTGGTTGGGCTGCCTACAAGCTGTGTGACCTTTGTCAAGTTAACACCTCTGAGCGTTACATTTATTTACTTGTAAAATTTTGATTCTAGTACGTACATCTCCCTTTTTTTCTTGCCTCAATCCCAAAAACGTATGAATCCTGGTGAGGTGGAGTATGGCCATTGTCCTCTACCACTGGTGGACTCCATCGCTAGTTCTTTCTTTGCCATGGGGATGCCTAAAATGCTAATTTTATACTTAGCAATTATAAAATGTATTCCTGCCTTTTCTGCCAGGGTCTGAAGATACCTAGGCTGTGAGTTTAGGTACAGGTAACTAGAAAAGTAAGTAAAACCAACAGAATTGGTATTATAATTATTAGAGAAAGCAAAATAGCGATCTAAGATGTGTTCTGGCAGCAGAAGAGTAATGGAAAAGAGATGAACATCGTGTCAACAGAATCTTTGAAAGACTACTGGTTGCATTAATAGAAAGCTTTTACGATGATATTTTGGACCTAGTCTATGATTAGCGTAGAGCGAGGCTGCCCCTGAATTTTCAAAATTTCCGTCAATATCTATGATACACCTTATGTAATTTCAAATGATTCTTGACAATTTCTGATGCAGAAACATATATATATATTTATTATTTTTAATTTATTATAATGTATCTATATTTTTTTCAGTAATGGTCCTTCTTTTGAGCTTTTGGAGTTTATTTCTGTTTCCAAAATTGCCGCTTCTTTGCATAGTGCTCCTGTTGCTATTTGAGGTTATCGGGCAGCACATCCATCGCCATTCGAAGGGTCTGCTTTCCGGGGTACTACATGGACATGCTTTTAGTTTCCACTTTAAATTTCTCCTTAAAATTCAGGGTCCTTCAGACCAAGAACATTGGGTAACACTTGATGTAAGAAACTATGTGGTTACCATGGGGATTAGGAGTTATTGCAGGTCTGTTTGACCTCTTTTCTTTATTGCAGGTAATTTATTCTAATAACATCGCAAGTTGCTTCCCAGGAGAGAGTTTATCCTTTGATAGATGTCTTTATAATTCCTTAATGCCACTGGTCTAAAAGGTAAGCTTTGCTAGATGTATTTTGTTCTTCTGAATATTTGGCCTGTAATGTTGTTGTTAGTGCCGTGGAGTGGATTCTGACCCCTAGCGCCCCTGTGTCCAGCGGAGTGGAACCCTGCCTGGGCTTTTTGCTCCATCCTCTCCCTTTCCAGCGACGTACCAGCCAATGCTCCACTGCTATTTATAGGGTTTTCATGAGCAATTTTTCGGAAGTGGGTGGCTAGGTCCTTCTTTCTGGTCTGTCTTAGTCTGGAAGCTCTGCTGAAACCTGTCCACCGTGGGTGACCCTGCTGATGTTTGAAATCCCGGTGGCACAGCTTTCAGCATCACAGCAACACACAGTCACCACAGTATGAGAACCGACAGATGGGTAGTGTGGGTCCCTGACCAGAAAACGGGGCCAGGCCGGAGTGGTGAGAGCGCCAAATCTTAACCATTAGACCACCAGGACTGGCAGCCCATAGTATTATCTCTGAATAATAATAATAATAGGCAGCATTTGTTGTTCACTTGCTATATAGCTGGCACATGGTCTCATTTAATTCTCAAAACCTTTCTTTGTGGTGTATTATCAATTAAGATTAGTGTTGACAGAAAGAGAAGAACTAAATACCCCCAAAACAATGGCTTAAGGCAAGTGGTTTATTTTTCTTTCCTGTTGAGGAAGTCCGGAAGTAGTCAGTCCAGGACTGGTATGGCATGGTGGCACGGACTCAAGCTCTTTCTGTCTTGTACTTCCGGCTTATGTAGCTTTCATTCCCAAGGTTACCTGATGAACACAGAAGGCTGTTAGAGCTCCTGCCATCATGTCCATATTCCAACTGTAGGAAGAAGGAAGAGTGGGGAGGCCACACCCCTTTCTTTAAAGACACTTCCCAGAAGCAGCACGTACCATTTCCACATATGTCCAGAACTTAGATGACCAGCCTAGTTATAAAAGAGATTCTTTTGCAGTCATTTGTGTGCCTAGCTAAAAATTAAGATTCTGCTGCTGAGGAAGAAGAGGAGAGTGGGTCCTGAGAGACAGCTAGCAGTCTGCTGCATTTGAGCTGTTACTATCCCCATCTCACAAATGGAGAAGTTGAGTTATAGAGAAGTTAAATGGACTTAATAAAATCTCACAGCTGATTGAGCTAAGATTCAAACCCAGATCTATCAAACTTCGGAGCCCTTAAGCACTACTTTGAAGTGCTTCTACCTTAAAACAGTTATTTGACTCTATTCTGTCTCTTCGACTAAATGAGTATAACGAAGGCCTGACTAAGTCACTAGGTCGATCGATTGAAACAATGGAACCCTTTATTTCACCAAGCGTTCTTGGCGGAGGACGTGGTACTGGTATCAACTTGTGCAATGCCTTCACTTCTGCTGACCTTTGGGATCGCTGGATTCACAGTTTAGCGACAGGTTTAGAAAATTGCCTGGCTGACAGGTTAAAGTCTTGTTTTTGGTCTTCGACTTGTTCAGAGTTGCAACAGGTTTCAACTTCATTAAAATATGCTTTGCTATCCTATTGAGGGTTTAGATTTTAAACAAGGTAATAAAAAACAAGGTTTTCAATAGGGTCAATGAAAATAAATAGGAAAAATGGTTTACTGTAGGAAAAAATCACAGCATCCTTATGGCTTTTGTCTTCAAAGGCATATTTTTAAGTTAATGACAGCACATCTTAGAATAAACAAGACCATACTACTTCTAAGTTATTTGAAAATTATTGCGTTTAGAAGGTTAACCTGTGATTCTCTAATATCTTACTTGAGAGAAAATCTAAATCGTAGAAGACTCTATGAGCTAGGGCTTCTTTCCTTTCTTCCTTCCCTCCTTCCATTTCATAAAGCTTAATTTGTCATTCTTTTCTTTTAGCTTCTGTTTTGTTCAGGTCCTTGCCTCTGCCTAGCGTGTGAGGGTTTTTGATCTTTCTTATGCCTGCTTAGCTCTTTGTTTTTAGCACCAAGGGAGAATGTGTGAAATGTGAATGAATAAATCAACAAACAATAAATGCCATGTTTTATAAATGTCACAACTTAACGTTGCTTTGTTGCTTAAACTTTCCAACATTTGAAGGAAGCTCTGTACCTTTATCAATACTTTTCAGGAATGCTATTAAAGTAAATAACATAAATCAGTTATTCAACAGAGGTCCTTCCTCAACCAGCCACGACCACAGGAGGGAGGCCTAGCAGCTAATGACAAGATCGAAAGGTTCGATGGTTTGCCTGGAAGTGAAGAGAGATTTTCGGTGCTGTGACAACTTGCAGAAAAGCCTGAGCAAGATGAAGAAACACATGATGAGAAGTCAGAGGGAACAGTGTTCACGGAAGAGATTGAGAGTCAGAGCTCAGGAGGGACTTTCCTTGTTTGCTGTGCATCACTGGTCTGGTTCTTCAGAAACTTTAAGCAAGAACAGGACCAGTTGCTGGGTGATGTGGACAAAAGAACAAAAACTATGACTGTTTAATAGATTTTCCATTAATTCTTTTTATTGATTATGAACTTGTAAACAAGTAATACATTAACGCATATTCCTTATTAAAAATTTTAACGTCCCATTTGAATAAGGGTGAAATCCCCCTTTCTCAATGATTCTCTATCAATGGTATCTTTATCAGATGGCCGGGAGTCTGGGGATAGTTTGGTTCCTAGACTGGCTAAACCGTGTCATGAAGGACGCAAGTTCTTTCCATCTCTCCATGCTCCCATTCTCAGTGTGGTGGCTTAGTCCTCAAGCTTTATCCTTTGTTTTGCAAGATGGCTGATGGAGGTCGTGACATCATATGAAGACCTGAGAAGAGGATCATTTCCTTCCACTTACCACCTTTTCTTAGTGAAAAATACCTTTCTTCAAAGTACCCAGCAGAATTAGCCCCATTGGCCACAATTGTCTCTCATGCCCAGGCATAAGACACCCCATCATGCAATTGGTATGAGACCACCATGATTGGCATGGGCTAATCAACATTTATTTTCTGGGACTGGAGAGGGGTCTATCCTCCCTTAGATACTGTGTTCAAGGGTCAAGAAATCTGGGGTTTGGTTAGCAAGAAAAAAGCGGTATAAGGCAAAAAAATATGCATGGCACATTTTGTTTTCAGAGAAATTATACTCAATAAAAATTCAGTATAAAATAAATAAAATATCTTTACCACTCACAAGTTAGGTCTGATGCTTTGTATCTGAACTAAAATCCACTCATCTTTTTATTCTTTCAACAAATATTCTTTGGCCGCTTACTACGTGTCAGCCACTGGTCTTGGTACTAAGGCTGGAGAGATGAACAGGACACACACTGATCTCCGCTAGCAATGCTTTCAGCAGCAAGTACCATAATAGGCACTTAAACGTGGCTTAAACCGCAGGGACAAGTAATGTTTATCTAACAGAAATTTAGGACGGGCAGTCCATAGTCCAGTCCCTCTAAAATGTTACCAAGGGCATGGTTTCATTCTTCTCTGTGTTCTTAGCATGCTGGCTTTTGTCTTTATTTGTGTTGCCTCATTGTCCCATGGTTGCCATAGCTCCCAACATCTCATCTGCTTTCAAATCACAAAGAAGTGGCAAAGGAATCTCTTCTTATTCTCGTCCCTTTTAGAAACATTCAAAAACTCTCAGAAGCCTCCTAGCAGATTCCCAGAAAAATCTCGTTGGCAGGAATGTGCTATGCTGGTGTCCTCAACAGCAAAGGAGTCTGGGAAAATGATTATCTCACCAAGTATTATGAGCTGTACACATTGCTGCCCCCAATAAAATTGAGATTCTGTTTATAAGGGGAGGCGAGGAGGATGGTTCGTCAATTGCAATGTCTTCCATAGTCCCCTTCTTCATGGAATTAATTCTCTGACCACATCATGGAGAGGTAGAAATACATCAGGAGTATTTTTTATACTCTAGTCTTTGAAATATGTCTGAGGAACTTGTGTAGTAAATGGTCCTTAGTGTTTGTTTTGCACATTCAGATAGAAAAGCTGTTTGCTCATAGAAGCTTGACATGAATTGGGATTGGGATCTGTAGGGCTTCATTTGGGTTCATCCTGGGCATGTAAGATGTTGTGGAGAGGGAGAGAAACGTAGACCCAGACACTTGTGTTAAGTATTAGCTGATAGCTGCTCCTGGGGTAAAAAGTGCCATTGGCAGAGCATCCACTGATTTCCTTACTCTGGCACCAGCCGCATCTTATTGCCGTCTCAGCTTATTTGTCTAGCTGCTCCACTAAACAACTAGCTTCTTGAGGGAAGAGGCTATGTTTTACTTATTTCTGTGTGCCTAACCCTGAGGATGGTGTCTGGCACATAGTAGGGACTCAGTGAAGGTTGGAGTTTGGAAATTATCTTTCAGGGGGGAAAATGTGGGAAGGAAAGTTCAAATATTCATATTAAAGAATTAAAACTAGAAGTGTTTAAAAAACTAACTTAAAAAATAAAAGTAGTCAAATGATAGAAATGGATTAGGTAGCACCTAGACCTCAGGAGGAGTAATCTGTCTCTTCTTTTATTTTTCAATTTTTTTCCATCTCTCTGGGAGGTTGAGGTCATGTGGTGTTTGTTCAAATTGTTTGGGTCTACATGGCACAGAAGTGGGACTAAAGTGCAGATGAGGTGGAACTCAGAAACAGCCTGTCAAAGCAAGCATGATTTAAAGCCGTTGCCACGTACATTGTATCGTTTTTATAGCATGGGAAGCAGTAAGGGCGACTTTACTGCAGTCACAGCTACCTTTACTACCATAGATAAGTGAATTCAAGCAGGCCTCCTAGAAGTTCAAGGGTGTGTAGTTGTTTCTTTCTTTCTTTCTTCAGAAAATTCAACAATCAAATCTCTCCAATATTAGTTTTTAACATTTGCTTTGTTAGATTGTTGTCGCCTTACAAATTTATGTTTCGTTAGTGATATTGCTTCATTATAATTCCCACATACGCATGTTTTGGAAAGTCGGTGAAAGGCTTTGCATTCTCCCTGCCTACAAGGCACGGGTCAGTGTGAGAGGGAGGGGAGCCCTGCGCTGAGCTGGACCCTGTCCCAGGGCCGCCACGGATCCTGGACCTTGGCCAAGTAGTTAACTATCTGCTGCTGGATTTCTACTTCTGTAAAATAGAGGTGTGTGAGAAGATCATCGCTTACGATTTCTTCTAGCTCTAAATTTCATGATCGTAACGTATTAAGTGCCTGTGTTTCTAGGAACTGAAGAGGGTTAAGGGTTAATATTTACTCTACGAGTTAGGTGTATCACCTCATCCTTTGCAATAAAACTTTTATCTTACAGACTATTAGATTGTACGTTTGAGAAACGGTGGCAGTGATATAACATAATAAAAAACTGAAAGGTACAATTAAAATTTGATATGTTTATTTTAGTTTTTTTTAACATCTTTTTTTTTTTTTTTTTTACTGGGAGAGATTTGCCCTGAGCTAACCTCTGGCGCCAAGCTTCCTCTCCTTCTCTCTTTTTTCACCCCTCCCCAAATCGCAGTACGTATTGTATATTCTGGTTGTAAGTCCTAGTTCTTCTATGTGAGCCGCTGCTACACCATGGCTAGTGACAGACGAGTGGTGTGGTTTGGCACCCAGGAGTTGAACCTGCACTGCCAAAGCGGAGCACACCAAGCTTTAACCACTATGCCATCAGGGCTGGCTCTGGTATATTTATTTTAATGTCTATTTCTACAAATATCCAACATGCATGTGCATAATTAGAATCATACGGCATACAGAATTGTGTATCTTCCTTTTTTCCACTGAATTTTCTTATGAGCATTTTCCCATCCCATTAAAAAATCTTTAAAAAAACAATATTTTGCTGTCTTAAAGAATTTTATATTGTTAAATGTAACACAAATACAGGAAAGTGCCTAAATGAACTATTATAAAGTAGACACTTGCAGCCACAACCTGTCTCAGCCACCCCAGAAATGCTTTTCTCTTGCCCTGCTGAAATTTATTGCCCTGATGACTTTTATGGTAATCATTTCCTTATTTCTATTTACATTTTTACCACTCAGTGTGCATCCCTAAACATTATCGTTTAGTGTTGCCTGAAAGTATAATTTTTAATGGATGTTTATTATTCCATCTTATGAAGATAAATTAACACATGCACGCACAGCTTATTGGATTATTTACTTTCCTTCTTGCTAGCTTATTGTTTTATTTTTTGAAGAGATATCTGTTCACATAATGCAGCATCTTAAAGCTTCAAAGGGGCTGCAGTGAAAGGTCTCTCTCCCGCCTCTGTCCTCCAGCCACCTGGCTGTCTCGAGGACCACTTGCTACGAAGTTGTTTTTGAGGAAAAAGGAGCCTAAGAATGGGATTGATGTTTTTTCAGGTTTAACATCCTAAATGAATCTAAGTAGGCACAAAAAATACAATAGAAGTCTTATTAAAGCATGCAAAATCCCTGCTGATTTTTCTTTTATGTGAAGTTGGCATAATATCTGGAGTGTTTCACTCTTAGCTTAGTTCAATGCATAACATTGAACAGTTGTGTGAATTGGATGTGAAATAACCACAGAAGGAAGTCTAGGATCAAGCTAGATTCAAATAGAGTTGAGACATTTTACTTTGCTTTACTGTAAAGCTGAGAGACCCAAGTTACTTTCTTTGTCTCTTGGGCACAATGGAAACTAAAACAGTTTCTCATGTTTTTCTCTAGTAGATCAGTAAATAATGCCATGATGATAACATGTTATGCAAAAACACATAATTCAGTTTGCATGAATGGAGGAAGTAATTATCTAACTTGTCTGACTAGTACACCATTTTTATGCATCAGAGTTCTTTGGTCACAAGAAACAAAAGCAGGCTCTGCTTAACTTGAATAAAAGGAATTTGCTGGAGGGATTCAAGTATTCATTGTTTGGCAGAAAAGCTGGAGAACCAGGCTTTGAAATGGACAGAGCTAACACAACTTAGGAGGTCCAGGAATTGGGGAATGACAAGAATGGTCTCATATCAAAATTGGCTTTGGGTATTTTATTAAATTCTAGTAGAAACGGTGCCGGATCAGGGAACATCAGGTGACTACACAACTAGAACTGCCCAGCAGGGTATTATCCGATGCAATGAGGGATACGTTTGGGCGGGTGCATCAGCAGACTTACGATGAAAATAAAGCATTGAGATCCAGCCTGAACAAATCCAGAAGGCATGAATAAACTACATGTATCTCAAAACTCTCATGTCAGCTGTCGGTGTTGCACCAATGGCCCTCCCTCCAGTCACATCTAGAGCCTCATCGGGGCTGGGAGAGAGAAAGTGGGTGGTCCCCTATGATCAAGTGATGGAAGAAGAGACAACTTAGGCCCAGTTTACACATGAATTCTCACAATACCTTAATGCTAGTGGAAAATGGATTGCCACCACATTACAGCCCCACTCAAGGATGAAAGGACAGTCTTGAAAGGAAATTCTCACTGTAGGCAGTGTTATGAGTAGTACCAAGGGTCATTGACATAGCACCGAGAGAAAAAAAAGTGTTCTGAAGTACGGATACATAGGGACTCTGGGGCAGGCGGGAATGACTTGGCTGCTTTGTCTGAGGCCTGATACAGGCAAAACGGGAAGACTGTCTTGGTAAGGCGTCCTTGTGTTGCTCTCCCACCTCCCTTTCCTCACTACTCTTCTGGTCCCTCACTCCTGTTTCCTTAGAGTTGCAGGGATACCAACAAGATAATGTGACACAAACTGTTGCCTAAGTTTTGGGGAGAAACCTCCTCTCTGAAGAGTTCAGTGAAATATTTGTGAGCAATTCAACTCCCAGACCAAATTATGAATGTTCTGTCCAAGCAACGATATATGTCTAGTGATGGCTTAAACTATTCTTAGGACTGTTTCCATTATTTGAGACAGGAAATGAAGAGACACTTGTCCAAATAATTTCTGATAGTTTGCAAGGAATACTCCTTCTCTGAAAATATCTCTAACTTAACCATTTATAAAATAACTGGGCTCGTAATCAGAGATAGAAAGCTGTGTATGAGCAGGCTGGTGAGAAAATTGTCTCATCAACAAAACAAGAAGCTACCTCATTCTCCTTACCCTGGGAAAAAACAATATGTAATCGAAATTTTTATTTTTTTCTTAAAACTACTCAACAGATTGAATTTGACCATTTCTCAGTACTGTCAATTCCATCAAAAACCTAAGCAAAGAATGTAAGTACCTTCTAAAGTATTTCTTCCACTCTGCTCTCTGATGAGTCTAAAGTTGTTCAGCAAATGGTAACTGTTCTCTTTAGTTTAGCTTTTGGGACATTTCCTTTCTGAGAACTTCCAAGACACTCTGTGTCCCATTAAAAGTAAACAATGGCAGAATTTCCTCACTAAAGAGGATAGGGTAAAGCACGGTAACATCATTCATTGGCCTCTCTTTGTGATGCTTGGTAGAGAGGGAGTGGGGAGATATTGATAAGGTGGACTAAGCAAGTTACCAGCAGGAACAAGGAAGCAACAGGGAGAGTCAAAATGTGGGATGAGGTGGGCATTCTGGATAATATAGGACAACAGAGAAGAGAAGGAAGGCCATGTCTGTGGGGATGACTGGCCAGTTGGTGGTGTGGAAGAGAAATGAAGCACAGCTGATCTTATCATGTTAGGTGACATTATTCATAGCTTTCACTATGGCTCAACAGAATGTGTGATAAGCCACTTTCTCATCAAATCAGCTGATTATGTTGCCACTCAGCGATGGGGAGAAAACTCCGTTAATGGACTGACTATGTCGTGGACCCCTTAGAGCTTTCCATCACTCTGAACTCCAGCTTGGATAAAATCCACTTAGACCTTTTTGTATTTCAGTGACTGAGGTTATCAAGCAAATGGTAGGGAGCTCCCTGGCTTTTCAGAATAGCTGTAAAAAATTATTTTCATTTAACCATGAGTTGAAAATGGATAAGGTAACTTACAAAAAATGGTTAAGGATGGTGTGTTGGGCACCTGTAATGTGTGGCTGTTTAGCATTCATTTCCCCTTCTTAACAACACACATTTCTTTTAGAGGAATTATAATTGTATTATTATTATTGTTGTTGTTGTTATTATTGTTATTGTTATTATCATTATTATTATTTTGAGTTCAGCCTAGTGGACTTGTGCTTCAGGGCCCCTACACTTTCTTAACCGAAGTTTCAGTATATGATTAAAACTAGGTCAATCAGAAACTTATTCCCTGGAATTTTAATCTTAGGTAGAAGATTAAAGACAAAGAAAATGGTAGGAATTCCTCTAATCCAGGGGTGAGGTCATGGATTTTTGCTACCATGACACTTTCTGTTGTTCCTCGATCCTGGACCACTGGGGATACCTTGGCTCTGTACCTTCTGAGTCTGGTTCTCCAGCCATACTGCAGATAATGAGGTCTGATATCTTTCAGTAAGTTTCCTTTGCATAAATTAACTAGAGCCTATTACTGTTGTTTGCATCTATAGAACCCTGACTCATTCTTAAGGTGTACCTCACCAATTAGGAAGGTTAAAGGAGAGTTGACTTTATTGCTAGAAGTGGTAGCCAGAAAAACTGTTTAATCATTTGAACAACAAATTTTTAAAAACCTGCAGAAAATATTTATTAATGATAAATACAATTTTTTAGAGAAAAAACAGACTGGAAAAAAATAAGTAATATTGAAAAAATCAGGAAATGTATTTTTGATAATTATCTCATGGCAAAAGTATGACATAGATGACAATAGGTTTAAAAAAATCTGATGACTGATTGATTAATTCATTGATTACCACTGAGAGCTTAGAGCATTGTCTTATTCTAGCATTAATACTCGTTCCTCATTATTTAAATCCCACAGAAATTTTCTGACTAGGTCTGTATTATTAAGTACAGAGGTGTAAAATCTCTGGGCTATTGGGGCCGGCCTGGTGGTCTAGTGGTTGGGTTCACAAGCTCCACTTTGGTGGCCCTGGGTTTGTGGGTTTGGATCCCGGCACGGACCAAGCACCAGTCATCAAGCCACACTATGGTGGCATCCCACATAAAGTGGAGGAACATTGGTACAGTTGTTAGCTCAGTGACAGTGTTCCTCAAGCAAAAAAAAAAGAGGAAGATTGGCAATAGATGTTAGCTTAGGGCCAATCTTCCTCAAAAAAGAAAAAAAAAGGATTCAGGGCTGTCGAACTTGATTCAACTCAAAAAATCCTCCCCAAAGTGAGAACTGTATAGTGAATTTAGTCAGATGGGATTTAATAGGATCTGAAGTTCGAGATTTATCTGTTGTTCCCTTTGAAGTTTCAACAACATTGATGACTTCTGTGTGGGAAGAACGTCTTGGTATCTCACATTAAAAAAAAAAATGAAGGTCTGATTCCTTGTCACATTCCATCTGTGTCATTACCCTGAAGGGTCCTCACGTATAATCCTTTTTATTCATAGGCTTAATATCTGATATTACCTTTGTTTTTTTAATGCATTTTTGGCACTAGAAATGAAGGCTCATTTGTATCCCATGTCTGAATTTCATTCTCACAGAAATTATGTAAAATAGAATAGAATGACTCATAGAATATCAAATATCGTCCCTTTTATTACACAAGGACTGAGAATTATTGCCCTAACAGGTAAGCAGTTGACATGCAGAAAAGACTGAGTGGAGTCTGAGGTGACAATGACAGCTAGATGTGGCTGCTTTTTCTCAGAAGAGCCAACACTTCTTCACCTGATATCTCCATCTAAGGAGACAGGGTTCTGAGGTCGTCCCTCTCATCTTAAGGTGACGTCTCCCTTTGCGTTTGGTAAGTCTGCGTGATTCTGAATTTGTGACCCAAACTGTAGTCATCACAGAAAATTTACAGTAATGTTTAGTTAGTGATCTAGTTCTCTGCATGACTCTGTAACACTAGGGTCTTCTTAAAAGATCCCCAAACAGCAGGATTCGTCTTAAGAACGATCTTCTTAAAAATATGATCATGCCACCTCTTTGCAAATAATAGAAAAATTTAACAATTACTTAAATGAATAGTGCTTTATTTTTCTCACATTGGATGAAGTCTGGCAGCAGATCTCAGGGCTGTCTAAGGACTCAATAAGTTCACCAAGGATGTATCTTGTTTGTATTTTTCTGTTCAGCCGTATATAGCATATTTGCTTGTTGCTTCACAGTCTCAAAATACTTACCACAGCTCCATGCGTCACTTCTACACTGAAGGCAAGAAGAGGGAAAGGGTAGTGAGAGGGAGCTCTCCTCTCTAATTTTCTCCTTTTAAAAAGAAACAAAGTTCTCACAGAAGCTTTCTATCATATATCTGCTTATGGCCTCATTTGCCCGAACATAGTCTCACACCCACCAATCACTGAAGGTGATTAGCATTACCACGATGGGTTAAAACCAACTGTTACTCATCTCAGGTTCTAGGGAAATTGAGGTTCCCTACATAAAAGTACCTGTGCTAACTATCAAAACACAAAATTGGAGGGAAGAAAGGGAGAATGTTGTTCTCCAGGGAGCAATACTTTTTCAACTCTTTGCCCAGCTGGTTTCTTCTCATTCCTTAGGTCTCTCTTTAAATGCCATCTCTTCAAAGAGGCCTTTCCTAACCAAATAATCTGAAGTAGGTCCCCCTGATTTTTATGATTGTTATCTATATATTTATTTTTTTTGGTGAGGAAGATTAGCCATGAGGTAACATCTGTTGCCAATCTTCCTCATTTTGCCTGAGGAAGATTGTCCCTGAGCTAACATCTGTGCCAATCTTCCTCTATTTTGTATGTGGGACGCTGCCATGGCATGGCTTGATGAGCAGTGTGTAGCTCCATGCCCAGGATCTGAACCCATGAACCCTGGACTGCCAAAGCAGAGCATGTGAACTCAACCACTACACCACTGGGCCAGCCACCCCTGCTTATTTTTGACTCCAAAAAACTGCCCATCGCATTCTTCTTAATCAGTAACTATGCATTTTTTTGCCGATTTATTTTACTGTCTATCTACTTTTTTGCCCACAAAGATGATACCTCTTTTTAGGAGAAAATACTTTATTGGAACTTGTGGTTTGCAGAGCAAAATAAAAATCCTATTCCGTTATTGAGGGATACAATTCATAAAGAACTTAACTGATCTACATTAAACAATGAAGTTTTTGTTTTGGGCAGAGGGCCGATTAGTTTATTACGGGGCAAAAACCATTTTTCTCCAATCTCTAAGTCCCAGACAAAATTGGAGATGTGTACTTGGGGGAAGAGCAATGACAATGAAATCCCAGGAGGTGGGTTAATCCCTAGAGTGGGAGGGCAGGCTAGGTACTGGAGAGCAGTGACGAGAATGGTTATGATAATTCTAACAGGAAACAGCGATTGGATGCTTACTAGGTATACTGCTTAACGGTGACTCAGTTAGTTTCCAAGATATTTTTGTGTGCTGGGTACCCTCTGAAACCCAGAGAGTTTCAATACCCATCACGGCTCACCTTTCACCCAGGCTGTCCACTTCTTTAGCCATGCCACTGCCTCCTTTGGATCAGAGATGGCCGATTTATAGGATTAACACTCTCCTTTTCTCATTATAATTCCTCTTTCTGTCCTCAAGTCTTTAGGAAGTTTTGTTCAATGCTATACATAGCTTGGTTTTAGGGGTGCTTTGCGAGTTTAGGCAGGTGCCTCTGTTAACACACATGGGGAAAATCTGGGTAGGAAATACTGGTTTCTTAAAGTGATCTGCAGTGGTCTGGAGCAGAATGGCTGTCCAAGGGGATGAGTGACAACCAGTGCAGCAGCATGAATTTGAGGAGTATGCCTTCCTCAGAGATAGATGCCCAAGAACTTGAAGAAGGGCACCCTCACAAAAGTGTAAAATTATACTTATACGGAAGCTTAAATCATCCTTACCTGGATTTGTAAATAAGGACCTTGGAAGGCCAGGAACTTGGACATCTGGTTGCCTGAGTCTCTGACATCTGGTGTCCACCCCCTTGACTTAATGAAAATTGGACACATGGACGTGACCAGGTTCCTCCTTGCTGCTAATTCCAAATACCACCCTCCATTCTCCCCAACCCCCCTTGGACGCCGTGAAAAGTGGGCTAGATTGGTCAGGTGGCACAGAGCCAAAAGGTGTCCCAGCAGTGGAAGCCTTTCAACAACATAAAAGACACGAGCAGATGTCCCACAGGTCGGGTAGGGAGAGGAACCCATGCCTGGAGGATTCGCTCCACTGCAAGTTCCAGCTGCCTCATGAAGATCTTTGATGCACCTGAAGCAGGAGAGAAATCTCTTCTGCTGCAATGTCATGAAAAGGGAGGGTTGTCTCTCTATGACTCAAAACTCCGCTGTAAGGAACTAGGAGGGAGTGAAAGGCCCTTAAAGCCATACTCACAGCAGCTGAACAGCTTTTCAGGAATCTAATGGTATACGGTAAGATAGCTAAACTTTGAGCTGTTACTATTTGCCAGACGTAGTTTATTTATCTCACAACTCTACAAATCAGGGATTACTCTTCTCCCCATTTTACAGCCTCCAGCATAGTGTTTCTTGTCTGAGGTGGCACAGCTGCTCAGTGGCAGAACTGGGAGAGCTGGCACAGAACCCACTGACCGCGCTCTACTTTCTTCTGCTCTCTGTCTGGCTTTTCTGCAAATTCCTAAGGCTCTCTTCCAATGGGAGGTCACACAATTCCAAACGTCAATGTGAAAGTGATTGTGATTCAAACGGTTAAAGGAAATTCTGTGCACTGTGGCTCCTACACAGGGCATGGACAGCTCGCTGAGTAAGCATGCAAACCAGACCAATTTACCTTTGGACGTGGAATGAAAAATCCCAGAAACAATGTGTGCACAAAGCAGATTTGCTTGACTTTTACGCTTTTTTTTTTTTGTAATCCCTAAAGAACATAGGATGTGGGAAAGAAACTCTAAAGATGTTATATGTGATGTGATTTTTGTGTTAAAGCACGTGTTTTAGGTAGGAGCTGATAATAGATTAATAAATGTATTAATGTGAACTCAGTGTAAACTCCGGTAGGTACCAGATGACCTCTTGCTTCACTGCTGCTCTCTCCCTGGCTTTCTACATCTCAGCTACCCTACAATCTTCCCAGTGTTACTCAATCCAAACCCACTTTACACTGGGGGAGTTTCCCGTAAAGTTCCCCAATTAGTTCTTGTTTTCTTTCATTCCCTGCCCGCATTCACTCTTGTAAATTAGTAGTTATCTCAGAGCCAGAACAGCGGGAGGGGGAAGAACCATGGGAATACATCGCCCCCCCGTCCTGCATTTTTTCCGCCAACATGTCCCCTGTCATTGATGAGACTACAGCTCTTGGGGATTGGGGTTTCGTTCATTTCTGCAACAATCCATGATTAAGTGCCTACTACTTGGTGGACGTTGTGTAGGTAAAGATCAGAAAACCAGACCCACGCCAGCCCCTGCTTTCATAGAGCCTAGCTTCCAGCGGGAGCAAAGAGACAGTAAACAAATTGTAGAGATAAGCCAAGGGGGCTGAGATGAGTTCCCAAAGCCACTAGCGAATGAGATGAAGAGTGATGGGTGGGCTGACTTAGTTGGGGCTGTCAGGTAGGGAAGGCTGCTCCAATTGGATTTCCTTGAAATTGAAATCTACCTGACAAGAAGGAGCCCGTCAGGGTTCGAGCTGCTTGTGCATCGAAACGGGGGAGAGACCACTGGCGAGTCCCTGAACCTCTGAGTCTTAGCTTTTTCTTCTCCAAATTAGGAAACATAACAACTTTATAGAACTGTGAAGAACAACGAAATAATTTGTCAAATGACTTTGTATATGGGAAGAGGGTTACTATACAGTCATTGAATCTAGAATGTATGTTAATTATCTCAGTAAACATAATTCCCACAAAATATAAAGGGCTATACAAAGGTCTGTTGTTCTTCTTCTTTTTAATTTTATTAAATTCCCCTCTGCTCCCCCCAGGTCGGTCTTCTGTAGTCCTTCTTTCCTAAGATGGCTTCCA